GACAGGTGCTGTCCGCGCTCGGGCTCCGGGCCGACCAGCTGGACCTGCGCCAGCTCCTGAGCTTCGAGCGGCGCGGCGAGACGCGGTTCCTCGAGCACGGCGAGCTGTCCGGCGAGCTGTCCGGCGAGTTGTCCGGCGAGCAGGATCTGGAGGATGACGGACTGCTGCAGAGCCTGGCGCACGGGCTCGGCCTGAGGCTCACCGGAACTCAGCTCCACCCGCACGGCGCGCTCGCCTAGCGAAAAGACTCTTGTCTCACCGCACGCCGAGAGTGGTCTCTTTCACACTTATTACAAACGCGGGCATAACAACGTGAAATATAAAAGTACTCCACCTTCTTGACGGGCGTCGTCGCTTCCTCTCCTCACTCTTCACCCCCCCCCCCACTCCCTCTCTCTCCTACAGCTCTCCCATAATTCTTTCTCTTTTTCCCCCGAGCCGTCCGCAAACCAGCCGATGACATGAAGTTACGGCGGTGCTCGAGGCGGGCTTGGCGTGGCGTAGCGGGGTAATGGACGGAGTTGCATCGGCCGTTGCAGCTTGCAGCGCGGCTTGCAGCGCGGCGCGGCTAGGGAGTGAAAGTGCTCCAGTCTCCCTCCCCGCGGGGCCCTCCCCCCGCCGCACCGCTGGAGGGGATGGACCCCGGCCAGCTGGAGGGAACTGGAGCTGGAGAGGCCCGCCCCGTCCCGCGGCCGGGCAGCGCGGGCGCGCAAAAGTAACGCGAGACGAGGCTCTTGCTGCTGCTGCTGCTCCTGCTGCTCCTGCTGCTTGAATTGCTAAATTATTCGGAATCATTTTCATCTTTCCTGGTGTGTTGGAGCGGCCCGCCGCCGCCGCGCTGGTTCCTGCTTCCCGCGGGCCGCGTGCCACCCTCCACGACGCCGCCCTCCTGCCGCCGCCGCCGCTGCTCCTCTTCTTCTCGGTGTATCGCGTGCCTTCGCGCTCGCGATGCCGCCCCCTCCCTCCCTCCCTCCCCCCTACTCGTGCGCGGGCGCGCGCGCGCGCGCCCCGCTGGCACAGCAACAGAGGTGAATGACTGGTAATGTCAAAGTTAGTGACGTCACGTCTCATGTGTTGGTATGGACGGGTGGGGCCGGGACGGGGCGGCATAGAGAGCCAGGAGCCCTTCTGGCCGCGCGGGGAGGGGGAGGGGGCAGCTAACACACTCACGTGGCGGGAGTATAGGCAAACCTCCCCACAACGGGTGGTGGACTGGCCGACCCCAAGGCCGACGCACCGACCAAGCAAGTGTGCGACACTTAAAACCCAGTAAGACGTGATTTTTTTTGTCGATGTCGAAACGACGTCGTTCCGGCGTTTTAAATCAAACTGAGCCAGGACAGGCTTGGACCCTAAACGACGCAAACCTGCGTACATAATTTCGACACACAACACCGTCTCGACGTCGTTCCGACATATTACCACACTGTGGTTGGGAGCGGATGTACCCCGCGCCCACCAAATTCGCGAACGAACACGGCGTACAAGCGCACTCCCCGCCTTTTGACTGTTTTTGTCTCGGGGAGAGCGTCATGAGCATTTACGGCTCTGAGCGGGCACTGCCTTTGGTCTACAGTCCGTAGTCAGTCTCGTACGTTTAGGGATTTTCCCAGGAAGTTCGTCCATTTTCCTCAGATCCATTCGTCCAACTACTGGAGCTGGGCGCCTGCGAGACTCGGGGTAGGCCACCCCGCAGCACACGCGTGCACTGCAGGCAGGGCGTTGCCTACCTCTCAGGCGCCATGAGACCCTTGCAGAAGGCTGGATGGCTTCAGAAGGGGACGAACGGACCGGACAGGGTTGGAGCCCTCGACCGCGATGAGCTCAAAGGAAGGGGTGGTACCCCCGGCGGCGCCTTACATCGGCCGCTGCATCCTCGAGGTCGCCGACAAATCCCTCCAGTACACGGCCCCCGCCCCGCCGCCTAGTGGTCCTCCTGTGAGAGGTACGCAGAGCAGTCGAGCGGCAGCCAATCACAGCGCTTTGGTGTTCCACGGGCGCGGCCATACCTCAAAATCACACTGTGCGTGGCTAGGAGCGGCCATAACCTCCGCACTCCACCTCGAGTTTTGAGATATTTTTGAGTGATTTTAGCGGTTAGAAGAACAAGAAGAAGTTCCAAGATGGCCGCCACGGACCACAACAAACCATCAACTGTTTTACCGAAGCGGCTGCTAGCAGCCGCCCTCGCTCAACGTTATATTGCTCCCATTTGAGTCAAATTTGGTATCATTTTGATCGGAAGGAAGAGGAGAACACATAAAATAGCATTTGAACATACGTGACGAATTTTTCAGGTTCCTTTCTAAGATATGGTGTTGGTTTGTTAAAATTGTGAACATGAACTATTATTTTCAAAGATTAACACTAAATAGCATTCTTATAGGTCCAATATCGTTTTTATCGTGTTCTTCACGTTCTTCCGATTCTAACAAAACCAAGTTTGACTCCAACAGGCGCGATATAACATTAGGTAGGTTATTGGGGCTCCCGAGCGCGAGCGGCTGCTCGGGGAAACAGTTGAATGTTTGTTGTGGTCCGTGGCGGCCATCTTGGAACTTCTTCTTGTTCTTCTAACCGCTAAAATCACTCATTTTTCTCGCAATTCCCTTCGCACCGCCGCGAGACATGACTCATTTTAAATGTTAGGCTTGCAGGAGCTCAAAAATTATATTACTCGCCTGCTCCAAGTTAAAATCTGTTGCTAACAACAATAACCGTGCGCGGAGCTGGCGCACGCTTTCTGCTAGTCCTAGTCTCGCACAGTGTGTCTCCAGCCCCATGGAACACCAGCCGCCAGCACTGCGTACCTCTCACAGGAGGGCCACTACCGCCGCCGCCCCTTCGGCTTCCTCCAGCTGCCGCCCCCGGACGACGCCGAGGCGGAGCGGACCGCGACGCCGCCCGGGCCCCCCTGGGGGCGCACTTGTTCTTTCGCGCCAAAGGCTCGGCCGGCGTTCGGCTCACTTCGGCTCGGCGGGCGTCGCGGCGGCGGCGGCGTTCGGGTCGCGCGTTCGGTCCGTCGGCTGGCTCTCGGGGGGGCGCGCCCTCCCCCTCCCGCCCGCTCTGCTCGCTCCGCGCTCTCTAGCACGGCCGCGCGCCGCACCGCGCCTAGCAGCCGCCTCTCTCTCTGTCCGTCTCCACCGCCTTGGCGCCCTGCACCCAGAAGACCGTTTAGTCCATATAACCAAATTCAAAACCGACGAAATTTTAGCTCTTGGGACTAAAATTTTATTCGTGGTGATGAAATAATTTGGTCTAGATGACTTAATTTGATTGGTGCGACTATATTTAGTTAAAAATAGGGTTACTAAATTTTAGTCGGTTTTAGGATCTAAATTTTGGTTCTTACAACCCTGATTTAGTTGTATCAACTAAATGGTTCTCTGGGTGTGGCCGCCCGCGTGCTCCGCGACGCCCTGCCCGCCGTGTCCGTGCCCGTCACTTCCGCGTGTCGTGTCGTGTCGCGCCGTGTCGCGCCGTGTCCCGCCGTGTCCGCGTCGTGTCGTCCGCGTCCACGTGTCGTCGTGTCGTGTTGTGTGACGTCCCCGCCGGTCCACAACAACCCCATCCGCGGCCGATGGGCGGCAGCAACACCGAAGAAAAGCCGGCCGGCCGGCTCGCCGGCACCGTGACAATGTGCGAGCCGCGCACGTGACAGTGCCGTGACAGTGTGTGACAGTGTGTGACAGTGCCGTGACAGAGTGACACCCAGCCACAAGTGTTCGCTGGTGACAGCGGGAGGAAAAAGCCGCGTGTGATCCGGTGTGACGAATAGTATGCGAGTTCAGCATTTTCTGGTGTTTCGGTGTGACGAGTGACATTATTTTTGGATACGTCGCTGGGTCGTCGCCGGCCGCGGCGCTGGGCCGTCTCTGGAGCGGCGTGTTGTGATTCGACTTCCAGCGGACATCGAGGTGAGTCCTGCCGGCCGGCATGTTGTTCACCTGTAGGTGTGCATGGACAGCAGCTGCAGGGGGTGCATACGGACAGCACGAAGCGGGTCCTTAGTAGAAGGGTGGGCATGGGCAAGTTGAGCATGTCGCTGGCGGCTTTGGCACGGACAACGATTTCGGTAGTCTGCCAGACACGACCTGTGTCAACCGGGCACTAATCCGGGGTTAATCCGGGAGTGCTTCAGGCGTACTCCAGGAGTCATCCAAGGGAGCCTGTTGTAGACTGCATGTCAGAGTCGTATATCCTCCTCGCCTCGTGCCACTCGGACACTGCTGGATGCTGCCCAGCAAGCAGGCGTGGGTGCCTACTCGCACGCGGGCCATGAGGAGCTGCGTGGTCAGTAACGAGACGACCGAACGGGAAGCGGTCAGTAGCTACGGAACAGGCAGCGGTCAGCAACAACTGAACGTGCAAGCAGCGTTCAGTGACAACTGAACAGGCAACGGTGAAGAATAATGGACTGAACGGGTATGGCGGTCAGTAACAAGCACACAGGCATGCAGCGGTCAGTATATAGACTAGATCGAACGGGCGTTGGTCAGCGTTCAGTGACCGATTGAACAGGCGGTCAGTCGCTTGCGTATGCACTGTTTTGTCAGAGCGGTTCGCCTGCCGCTGCCGTGCCGCCAACGCCTTGCCACGAAGCCAATTGAGGTCCGAAAAATATACCAACCAGATTTGGACGAAATTTTGATCATGATCATGCTTGGAGCAGGCAATGGTCATTTCGACCCTTTCAACCACTTCGTGTTCGCGGGCCGCGTTTTGTTGAACGGCATGTCCACTCCAAGTTTCCGTGTTGACTCCTACTCCTCAGCTCCGCGCGCAGCCGGCTGGCCGTCGCGGCTAGGCGTGCGCACGCGACAGAGAGAGAAAGAGAGACGTCGCCCCGATTTCGGTCGGTATCTTTTGAGTTGAATAACCTCTCAATATCTGTTGCGCATGGGCTCATCTTGTGTTCGTTTTGTCCAAATACGCGGG